GAGGGGGGAACACCCCCAGCAGGAGTTGGGGACACCCAGGGACCCCATTTGGGGAGGGGGGAACACCCCCAGCAGGAGTTGGGGACACCCAGGGATGTGTGGGGACCACATTTGGGGAGGGGGAACACCCAGGTATAAGTGGGGACCACATGTGGGGAGGGAGGGGATAGTCCAGGGGGCAGTGGGGACCCCATTTTGGGGAGGGGGACACATCCAGGTATACCTGGGGACCCCATTTGGGGAGGGGGGACACACCCAGGTACACCTGGGGACCCCATTTGGGGAGGGGGGGACACCTGGGTACACCTGGGGACCCCATTTGGGGAGGGGGACACATCCAGGTATACCTGGGGACCCCATTTGGGGAGGGGGGGACACCTGGGTACACCTGGGGACCCCATTTGGGGAGGGGGAGACACTCAGGTACACCTGGGGACCCCATTTGGGGAGGGGGGACACACCCAGGTACACCTGGGGACCCCATTTGGGGAGGGGGGGACACCCGGGTACACCTGGGGACCCCATTTGGGGAGGGGGAGACACTCAGGTACACCTGGGGACACCATTTGGGGAGGGGGGGACACCCGGGTACACCTGGGGACACCATTTGGGGAGGGGGAGACACCCAGGTACACCTGGGGACCCCCCCCGGGGTAAATGGGGACCCCTGGGGTAAGTTGGGACCCAAAAGTGCAGAACAAAATTAACCCCCCCCCCCAATATATAAAAAAAAAAAAAAATAAAATAAAATAAAACAAAACAAAACAAAATAAAATAAAATAAAATAAAAACCCTCCCCAAAATCAAAGCAATGAAAAGACGCCTGCTCCCCCCAAAAAAAAGCCCCCAGACCCACCAGTCTGCCCAGAGGGGTGCAGAACTGAGACCCCAACCCTAAAGAAGCCCCCAGACTCATCAGTCTGCCAGGAGGGGGGGCAGAACTGGGACCAACACCCCAAAGAAGCCCCCAGACCCAAGGGGGGGTGCAGAACTGAGACCCCCACCCCAAAGAAGCCCCCAGACCCACCAGTCTGCCAGGAGGGCGTGCGGAACTGGGACCCCCCAGACCCACCAGTCTGCACAGAGGGGTGCAGAACTGGGACCCCACCCCAAAGAAGCCCCCAGACCCACCAGTCTGCCCAAGAGGGGGGTGCAGAACTGGGACCACCACCCAAAAAAAGCCCCCAGACCCAAGGGGGGGGTGCAGAACTGGGACCCCCACTCAAAGGAACCCCCAGACCCACCAATCTGCCCAAGAGGGGGGTGCAGAACTGGGACCCCCACCCCAAAGAAGCCCCCAGACTCACCAGCCTGCACAGAGGGGTGCAGAACTGGGACCCCCACCCCAAAGAAGCCCCCAGACCCACCAGTCTGCCCAAGGGGGGGTGCAGAACTGGGACCCCCACCCCAAAGAAGCCCCCAGACCCACCAGTCTGCCCAAGGGGGGGTGCAGAACTGGGACCCCACACCCCAAAGAAGCCCCCAGAGCCCCCAGTCTGCCCAAGGGGGGGTGCAGAACTGGGACCCCCCACCCCAAAGAAGCCCCCAGACCCACCGGTCTGCCAGGAGGGCGTGCGGAACTGGGAGAGCAGGGACGAGGCCGAGGGGCCGGGCTGGGGTCCGCGCGACTCCAGCGCCGAGATCAGGTTCATGACGGAGGCGTCGGGGGCCGCGCCCCCCGCGTGGTGCAGCCCCGTCTCGAAGAGCCCCGACAGCCCTGGGGACACGGGACAGCTCGGGGACAGCTCGGGGACAGC